TAAACTCTGTTTCTTTCTTTTTGCATGTTGGTCCACTTTTATCTTTCTTTTTTTTCCTTCTTGCATATTGGTTCATTTCTTCCTTCTTTCTTTATTTCTTGTTGCATGTTGGCACATTTCTTTCTTATCTTTCTTTCTTTTTACATGTTGCTAATTTTTTCCTTTTTTCTTTCGTTCTGTGCTTATTTCTTTGCTTCTTTCTTTCTTTTTGCATATGGCTACTCTTTCTATCCCTCCTTCTGTCTTTCCTTCTTTCTTTCTGCATGTTGGTACATTTCTTTTTTTTATCTTTCTTTTTGTTACATGTTGCTACACTTTCTTTCTTTCTTTTTTTTCTTTCTTTTTGTATGCTGATTCACTTCGTTTTTTTCTATATTCTTCCATGTTGGTTGATTTCTTTCTTCCTTTCTTTTTTCATAATGGTAAATGTCTTTCTTTCTTTTTGGCTATTGCTACACCTTTTTCCTTCTTTTACTTCTTTTTTCTTTTTGCGTGTTGGTACATTTCTGTCTTTCTTTCTTTCTTTCTTTCTTTTAATATTTTAACCCGATACAGAATTTGCAATATATGGATGGAGAGGAAACTAAAAATCATAGAATTCAAAAACCTGAATGGCTTAATAAATGAAACGAATTAAATAATCTTCAACAGTCGGTCGAATGACTATAAACTGTAGAGCTCGGGGACATCCAAGGATAACAACCACCCATTTTAAAAATCGAACTGCGTGAAACAAGTGTGTTAATTAGTAAATAATATCTATCTATCTATCTATCTATCTATCTATCTATCTATCTATCTATCTATCTATCTATCTATATACACTAGCAGCGTGGCCCGGCCTTGCCCGTGCTTGATTCAAAAATCGTATGACTCATACAGCAATCGTTATCACTCGACTTAAAATATTTTTGCCCTTCCTTGCCTTTAAACGAGTGCCTTTTGCCGTGCTGATGTTGCTACATGCCTTACTTCTTGCCTATCTCACACTGCGAATTTTTTTCTAAGCTCTATACTAAACATTAAATCTGTTACGAAAAAAGAACTAAACAAAATGAACACAAAACGATCAGCTTTAAAAAAGGACTCCTAACTGGAAAAACCGAATGAAAAAAGAATGTTAACAACAAATACTTTTTCACACCCAACCCAGTTTGTTGAGTTTAAGCAAGCGAATGAGCCAACTGGAGTAAAGTGCCATGCAGATTTAAATTTTTCCCACTTGTGACGAATGCAGCTATCGATTTTTTATGCATGCTAGCATGCTAGTTAACATTCGTGTCAGTCAGCTGTTGGCTCTCACGCTGGCCAATAGAATCTTCCTGACTATTCGTGGCAGCCAGCTATAGGCTATCACTCTGGCCAGTAGAAAATGGCCGCAAACTACATGAAAAGTGCAGTAGAAGCATGAAAAATCGATTATTTCAAATATCGATGGGAGTTGGGAAATGCAAAGTCGGTCTTGGCCTTCCCGCTTGGAGCATGTTGGTGCAATTCCGTCGAAAAGTGCGGCCGTGCATTCGTTACACACACACATCCTCCTATATATATATATATATATATATATATATATATATATATATATATATATATATATATATAAATGAAAATGTTACCTCCTTATACTGCGAAACACATGTGGATTATAATTTAAAACGCTGTTATAAAGCAGTAAAACGAACAGATGAAATGTTTTGTATTTATAGAAATACATATAAACATTCACGGACAATTTAAGCCCCTGATGATGGTCTCAGATTAAAAGTAATTGGAAAAATAAAAACTATTTGAAAGAAAATTTTGATATTTTTCTTAATCAATTTTCTAACGTTACCAAGAAATTAATCGTAAACTTGAAAGAATCACAAGCAAAATAAATCGACGCATGTCTAAATTATTTAACCTGTTTGAATGAAAATATGCTGCTCATATGTATATATATATACACACAAACACAGTGAATTATTCCTTGGCGATCCCACCAGATTGAAAGAAAAACCTTTTACACATGAAGTTCCCTTCTCGGCTGTGTCTGGGATCCTTCCCCTTTACCAAGCCACTGTCTATGACACTTAACATTTCGATAAAAGATCCATTTTTCGTCGCCTGTCACAAGTCTATCCAAGAAAGGTGAAACAAGTTGGCGAGAATGGAGAAACGCCCTTCCTCTTACTTGCTTCCCTGATAACTATCAGGTCATCCCATAAGTTCTGTCCGAATTTTCAATAAAGAAAACAAGTGACCAAATGTTACATTTAATTACAGATTCAATCAACATTGTATTTTCCCTGATTATCTATGACTTCCTTCCATCTATTAACAAGCTTACTAATTCCATTACTGTAAAATTCTTTTGGCTTTGATTCGAAGAACTCACAAATGTCAGTTTTAACCTCTTCCTGTGCTATAAAAACTGTTTCTTTCAAATGATTCTGTAAGCTATGAAACAAATGGTAGTCTAAAGGAGCAAGATCGGGAGAATAAGGTGGATGAGGAATTTTCTCCCAACCAAGTTCTTCGTTTTTTTGTGACGTGATTCTTGCTGTGTGGGGTCGCGCATTGTCCTGATGAAACATCACCTCTTTTCGATTCACTAGAGCAGGTCTTTTTTCCTCAAAGCTTGGTTCAAACGCTCTAATTGCTGTCAAGCATATTTGAGCATTAATTGTTGCATTAGGTGGTAAGAATTCAAAGCGGATTATTCCTTGGCGATCCCACCAGATTGAAAGAAGAACCTTTTACCCATGAAGTTCCCTTCTCGGCTGTGTCTGGGATCCTTCCCCTTTACCAAGCCACTGTCTACGACACTTAACATTTCGATAAAAGATCCATTTTTCGTCGCCAGTCACAAGTCTATCCAAAAAAGGTGAAACAAGTTGGCGAGAATGGAGAAAAGAGATGTTAACTCGGGATTTGAGGTTGTTTTCAGACAATTCATGAGGCACCCATTTTCCAAGTTTAGGAACTTTTCCATGTTGTTGAAGATGACGATGAACAGTTGTATGATTTGAACTGAGAACCATTGCCAATTCCTCAACTGATAAAGCAAGATTTTCTTCAAGGGCTGCTTCAAGAAGCTTTTCATCAAACTCAACTGGACGTCCGGTTCGATCTTCATCTTCAAGGGTGAAATCTCACCTCTGAATTTTGCAAACCATCTTCTGCAAGTTCTTTCATTCACATTCCTCTCCATAAACTGAGTGAATGTTTCTAGCCGCTTCGGCTGCTGAGTTTCCTTTTTTGAACTCATAAAGCATTATGTACCTCAAATGATTCTTGGGTACTTTCATGTTAGCAGGGTTTTAATCAAACAAAATTTAATTTTATTGTACTCTGAAATAAAATTTGATCAGTTTAAATGCATCTAAACATAAAAATAATGTTCAGCTCCATTAAACATTATAAAATACTCTTTAAATTTCGTTCATTTTAACAAAAATTTAAAATTCGGCCAAAACTTATGGGATGGCCTGATATAAAAATGAGATGTTTCTTGTTTTTTAAAACTGTCGCTTCCAAGAAAACCATTATAAACTTCGAGGAGGTCACCCAAAATCATCTCCAAAATCAGGATAGTGAGGAACTATTGAAAATACCCATTCCGAGATATTAACTGGAACCAGTTCCCTAGCGTGTAGGCAAAACTATTTCATCCTATTTCAACAATTTATCAATCCACTCTTTATCCAGGCATTGTAATTATCTCTACTCAGTGTAAAATTGCTTTAAATGATTCAGATTTTATATCTCTATTAGTTTTGATTTTTGCCATTTCTTTCATTTTCACGATCAATTGATATTTACTTCAGGCAATGATATATCCATTTGCCTATTTAAGTGTCATTCATTTACTGTGAGTAGTTCACTTAACCTGTTCATATCTCTCTTGTTTCATTCAGTATCTATCTATCTATCTATCTATCTATCTATCTATCTATCTATCTATCTATCTATCTGGCTTGTTAATACGTACGTGCTTCTATGTCGATACACACATCCAAATGCACAGACACAGACACACACACACATATATATATTGATTTCGTCATATATAGCTATACGTATATATATTGTTAATTTTTATGTGCAGTTAGCTATGTTCATACAAACTTCCACACACACACACACACATGTTTGTGTGTGTAATATTTTATGAAAATGTCGGGATAAAATTGATATTTAAAAGTTATATTATATAATATAAAAAGTTATATTATATAATATAAATAATCAATTATATATATATATATATATATATATATATGTGCGTGTGTGTGTTTATATATACTGCCTTGGTCATATCTATCTATCTATCTATCTATATATCTATCTATCTAAATATATAGCTTCTTAAAATATATGTGAATCTATCTATCTATATAGATATACACATACACACACACACACACACACACACACACACACACACACACACACACACACACATATATATATATATATATATAATAGATAGATAGATATTGACTTCTTCATATCTATCTATCTATCTATCTATCTATCTATATATATATATATATATATATATATATATATATATGGATGGATATATATATATATATATACATATATATTGACTTCTTCATATCTATCTATCTGTTTTCGCTTATGCAATTCTTACTTGTTAATCTTGTGGTAAATGTATTATTTTCCTAAAATTCACCTGAGACACGCTTGTATCTCTTGTTTCTTTTTATGTAGATATCGTTGATTCCTTCTAAAAGCTGCATAAAAGATAACTGCATTACCATGCGTGGGAAATTTGGCGGGCGCTTGGCTTTGTGTAGGAAATTGTAAATAAGTGGAAGACAGTGAATTGATAAATAAGAATAAACCTTCAAATTTTAATGTCAGGACCCAGGAAGGAAGATGTAGTTAAGAAGATTGCAGGAGAGAGATCGCAAGTGTAAAGCCATTAACAGTTGGAGGAGAATAAAAAAAAAAAAAAGATATGAAAAAGCTGAAAGTATATGAAAAGGCACTTAACTTGAAGGATATAAGAGAAAGAAGGAAGTAGAAAGAGAGAGGGGGGAGAGAGGTGGAGAAAGAGAGGGAGAGAGAGAGAGAGGAAAGACTAAACGAACAAGAAATAACACTTCAGTTAAAAAGGGAAAAACAGCGGAAGAATATGAAATAAAGAAAGAATGAAAAAGAAGAAATAAAAACGGTAGAAAGAGATAAAGTGAAAATAAAGAAGAAATGTAAGAAGAAGGAAGAAAGAAAGAAAAGAGAAAGAAAGAAAATCGGTAGGCTGAAAGGAAAATGGTAAAAAGAAGAGGAAAGAAGAAATGTAAGACGAATGAAGGAAGAAAGAAAAGAGAACGAAAGAAAGAATGATGAAAAATGAAAGAGGAAAGATGGAAGTAGAGAAATACAATAAGAAACAATGGCGGAAAGGATGAAAAGAAAGAAAAAAGAAAACAACAAAAAAGGAATTAGACAAAAAGAAAAAGAAAGAAAGTAAGAAGAAGAAGAAGAAGAAGAAGAAAGAGGAGGGGAAGAATGACAGAAATAGCGAAGGAGGAAATTAAATTGATTAAAGGAAATACGGAATGAAAAAGGGATGGAAGCGGTCAGAATCCGCAAAGGAGGAAAGAGAAAAATCAAGATAAGGAATGAGTAAAAACAGAATGAAAAATGATTAATGAAGAAAATAAAAGAAAAAAGAAGAAATGATAAATGTACAAGAGAAAAAGAAAATGAAGAAGAAAGGTAGAAAACGAGGAAGAAGAAGAAGAAGAAGAAGAAGAAGAAGAAGAAGAAGAAAAACAAAAAGGAGAAAAAAGGAATGAGAACTGCAAAAAGATGGAGAAATATCCAAGAGAGGGAGAGAGAGAGAGAGAGAGAGAGAAAGAGAGAGAGATAGAGGGGAGAGGAAAATAGAAAAAGTAAACGAGGAAGAAAGAAAACGAGGAGGAAGAAGAAGAAAAAAAAAAGGAGAAAAAAAGGAATGAGAACTGCAAAAATGGAGAAATATCAAAGAGAGAGAGAGAGAGAGAGAGAGAGAGAGAGATAGAGGGAGGAAAATAGAAAAAAGTAAACGAGGAAGAAAGAAAACGAGGAGGAAGAAGAAGAAAAGCAAAAAGGAGAGGATAAAAAATGAAGACGTGCAAGAAGATGGTGAAGGAAACAAAAATAAGAGAGAGAGGAAGATTGAAAGACAGGGAAAGAGTGGAAGTACTGAAAAACAGAAATAATGGAGAGAAAGAGAGAGAGAGAGAGAGAGAGAGAGAGAGAGAAAGAAAGAAAGAAAAAAAGAAAGCGAGCGAAGCTTATAAATTTTTCTTTTTACTTTTCCCGGTTTCTTTCCTTATATTTTAGATGTGTAATTGAAAATTCAATAAAATTCAATTGTTGAGGAAATTTGCATTGCAGCCTGTCGAGAAAGAGGAATTTCGCAGAAAATTGAAGGAGAAAAGAGAAACAGAAATAATGGCTACTCAATTTTTGCTTTTATTTAAACTTATGCATCCTTCCCTAAAAATAACACAAAAAAACGAACACTTATACTTACTGTGGACAGATACGTCTACAAATTTTCGTGTAAGCTGATTACACAACAATGGAGGCGTCTCTGTCATTCTACAGATAGCTTCAAGAATACATAACCCATTATTTTACGTCCAGGTCGCTTACCTTAGAGTGAATTGTTAGTACACTAGTATTTCTTTGATAGTGCAGCGTGTTCAATCTTCAGTTAGTAATTTAATATTGTGTTTCTGAATAGAAACAAGCAAAGCTTTGCAAATATTTACATCAGACAAGTGGGTGTCGCTTGGTATGATAGTTTCTTATATAGCTAGTGTGGAAGCTTCAGTCTTTACTCACTAATTTAATATTGGCTTTCTGAATTGAAACTAAGCTAAGCTTAGAAAATATTCATATTGCTAATATAGGGAGTTCGAACATTACTTAGTACCCAACTGTTGTGTCCCGTGTGGTAAAAGCTGAAAATTCATAAATACCTTATGACATTTTATAGTAGACATCAAAGCAGCAAAAATAAAAATGAAAGACATATTTTTTTTTAAGCGTTTCACCCCAAGCAAGGCGGGAAGTCACTAGGACGCAAGTGGTTACAGAAAATTTGGAGCAAGATCAGATAGGAATGATAGAGGAAAGGATGAGGAAAAGGATAATGGATAAATCAAGGCAACTGGAGATGTCGATTGATATTACAGTTGAATAGTTGGAGATTATAGCTATCAGGGAAACTGGAATAGGGAAGGGAGTTCCACAGGCGAGAGGTGCGAGATATAAAGATATTGGAGTAGAAGAGACGGCTACATTTAATAGTTTCGACAGTGAAAGGGTGAGAGCGGGATGTCATCCTCGTAGGGCGCTTGAATTCATGAAGTCTGGGAACCAGCGAAAGCAGCTCATCGAAAGCAGTTTACCATGAAAGTATTTGTAAAACAGACAGAGAGAGGCGACGGCGCGTCTGTGAGAGAGCGACTGTAGACGAGATGCCAGATCAGGGCCAATTATATTGCATATCCGCCTCTGGAGCCTATCAAGAACCCCGAGGCAAACAGAAGGGGCTCCAGACCATATATGGCAGCAATACTCCATGCAAGGGCGAATGGTTGATTTGTAGATTTGAAGGATCGATTCCGGGGAGAAAAATTTCCTGGTGCGTCACAGGGAGCCAACTTTCTTTGCGGTGGACGAAGCAAATCTATTTAATAAATGGTAATATTTGGCAATGCTTCATCTAAGAATATTCTAACTCGAAGAATACTTTTAATATGGCAGGGTACTTTGTAAAACCAAGAGAATTTTTTCGAGATAGTGATCGTTATAAATCTTTGATTTTGGTCGCCATCAGCCTATTCCCGAGCAGGTTTATGTATTTATAAATTCCATGACGTTATAAAACAATTAATGTGTTGACACAAAAAAATCTTAAAATTGAGCTCTTAATAACGCCGGTCGACATTTTTTTTCGACCCAAATGTTGTTGGGCAATGGATACATTTTTCTGGGTTATTTTTTTCACGCTGAATTGATCAACCTTTTCAAAAGCAAAAAAGTTGATCTGTTTTAATGATCCAGCAGAAATCAGCTATCATGCTAACATCTCATGAGCTTTTGTATCTTTCTTCCATTACTTTGAGATCTTGATGAAACCTCTCTTCTGTTCATCGCTATAATTACCAAGATTATAATCAAAAGCACAATAGAATTTTCAAGAAGAGAAGATTTAAACCTTTGGATGGACAAAATGAATGTATTTTTCATTCCTTTGTATTATTGTTTTGATTCAAAAATTGATGACACGTTTGCCTTAATTTAATTTTGTGTGAAATTTTTCTGAAAAAATTTTTCTGAACTGAAAATAATGAAAATGCATTCCTTAACTTATAACTTTTTTTTTTTATAAGTTATTCTAACCTCAAAACGTTTAAGGTTGGTTCTACTTGGCCCTGTCATATCACTTTTAAGTGAGTATTTTTAGCTATTTTAAGAAAAATAGAAATTATTTGTACTGAGAAAACGTGATGAGCTGGGAGAAAATGGACTTGATTTTCAGATTTAGCGTGAAAAATAGCCTAGAAACATGTGCCCATCATCCACCAACATTTAGGTCGAAAACAAAATGTCGACCGGTGTAATTTTATTGGTTGTCCTTCGGAGAGGAGAGAGACTGATTGATTCTGAAGAGAAGTTCATTTTTAATCGTTTTTTTAATGATGCAATATTTATTTTAATCATTTCTCACCAAGCAAGGTAACAAAGCCGCTTACACGCAGGGGGTTACTGAGTGTGAAAGAATATAAGACGTTATTAAAGAGCGAAAAGAATAAAAGAACAGGAATTAAGAAAACAAGATAAGGATTGACATTGAATTTACATTTTTGAAGGCCAAAAATTGTCTTGAAAGCAAGGAACCGGAAGAGATGTTTCCATGCGAGAAAAGAAACTGTTAGCAGAGAACTCACGGTTACATCTCGCCATTTCCAATATAAAATAAGTACTGCACTGGAATTCATAGGTTCTACGTACCATAGCGAAGAACTCCCCAGAAAGGGCAGAGGGAAGCTAGATTATGGCGGCGGTAAAAAGAAAAAGATTGAAGCCGAAATGCCAGGTCAGGACCAAATTTTATTTCTTGTTAGTCAAGAAAAATATATTCAGCCCAAAGTGATAACAAGCTAGATTCCCTGACCATGGTTAGTGTAGAGATTTTGATTCTCATTGGAGATGTGAGGTTAAGTCATAAGTAATTTCCGAATTTGACAACCAAATGTAATGAAAAACCTATCATCCTAACTACTAAGCCTACGTAGAAGTTAAGAATAAGATTGAAGTACACCAACATACTTAGTCTTTACATGGCAGTGACAGCATACACAGTGGATAAGAAGGAACTTGTTTTTCTTCATCATGATGACAAAAGTCCGCATCCAGCAAAAATAACGAAAAACAAAAACAAAAAAAAAACAATTGCAACTCTTTGGTCTGTTCTACCCTACATGACACATTCACTTGACCTTGAACTTGTTATTACCATTTGCGATTTCTGCAGAACACTTTGATCGTGAGCACCCTTCATTAATGAAAACCAGATTCAAGTATTCGTTGAAAGGCTTTTCACATCAAAAACTGCGGAATTTTACTCAAAAAATATCGAAGAGCTGTTTGATGTGTGGCAAAAGGTCATTGAAAATAATGTTGAATATATCATTGAATAAACTCTAATTGTACTTTATTTCTCGAAGAATAAAATTGATAAACCAAACAAAATTATTTATGACACAATCGAATATATTTATATAGGACGCTTGTCCTAGTGTTAGTCAGCAGACTAACATTGCAGAACATTGAAAGTGTAGAGATTTTGATCTACATCTACACTGCATTCACAAACCCTCCCAGACATTTCCAAACACCGGCTCTGACCTAGATCAAAGTAAAAGCGGCACCATTCGCCCTTGCATGTAATACTGCTGCCATATATGGTCTGATGGCCCCGCTGTCTGCCTTAAGATTCTCGAGAAAATCCAGAGACGGATATGCAATGTCTTTGGTGCTGATCTGGCATCTCGTTTACAGTCGCTCTCTCACAAACGTGCCGTCGCTTCCTTCTGTCTTTTCTACAAATACTTTCAGGGTAAATCCTCTGACAACCTACTTTCGCTGATTCCCAAACTGCATGAATTTAAACGTTCTACTAGGCTGGCATCTCGGTCCCACCCTTTCACTGACGAAACGGTTAAATGTAACCGTCTCTTCTACTCCAAATAGCTTCATGTCACGCACCACCCGTCTGTAGAATTCCCTTCCTATTACTTGTTTCCTTGATAGCTATAATCTCCAGCTATTCAAATGTAATGTCAATCGACATCTGCAGATGCCTTGATCTATTCCCTGTCCTTCTCTTCATTCTTTCCTCTATCATGCCTCTTTACTCTTGCTCCCACTCTCTGTAACCCCTTTCGTGCTAGTAACACTCCCGCCTGCTTGGGGTGAAATGCTTAAAAAAATATATCTAAGAGGGCTTGAACTAATTCTCAAACGCTGTGCCTCGGCTCACCTTGGGCTGAATATATTTTTCTTGACTAACAAGAAATAAAATTTGGTCCTGACCTGGCATTTCGGCATTCAATCTTTTCTTCCTCTTAAGTGTGCCGCGAAAGATTAAAGAAATCGCGAAAAGGCACAGATTTCACACTAAATGAGCTGCACAAATAATTGAATAGAAACAGTGAAATAAAATAAGTCCATATTTGAGTGTGTATTCTTATTTTAATCAACGGTTTTATTTAATAACATTTAAATGTATAGCCTTTAAAAAAATTTTGTAAGCGTGCCTTGATATTTTTATTTTCTCGTAGGTGTGCCGTTGCTTAAAATGTTTGAGCAACACATGTTTTGAAGCCATAAAATATTTTCTGATTCCAAGAATTTTTTTTTTGAATTAACAATTCTTTAGTGTTATACATCTTACTAATTAACCCATACCTGTGGGAGAAGAGGAGTGTTCATTTCCTTTCTCGAAGTTATATGCAGGTATGGGAATATAAGGAACCCGACGGGAATTGGAACTCGGTTCTCCGATTAATAATTCCGAACCATTATTCATTACAACATCGAAGCTTACAGTACCTGATATACCCAAGTAGTCACCCACCTAGGTACTGAACAGGCTCGGCGTTGCTTAATTTCGGCAATCCTACCGGAACCAATGGTTCAACGTGATGCGACCGTAAACCAAAGAAAAAAGAAGAAAAAAAAAAAGAAAGAAAGAAAAAAGAAAGAAAGAAAAAAGAAAGAAAGAACGAATGAAAGACACAGAAAAATGAAGAAGGTATTTATGGTATAACTCTTACAAAAGAAACTGAAGGAGAAAGGTTTATGAGAGAGTAGGTCTATAATGAAATGGAGGAGCTAAACAAAAAAGAAAGAATGTCTGTGTGTGTGTGAGAAAGAGAGAGAGAGAAAGAGAGATAGTATGATAGAAAGAAAGAAATATAGTGGGAAGTATGTAGAGAGGGAAGTCAAAATTCGAAAGGATAAATAAAAAAAAATGGCGACACTGCTGAATATAATTTGCGGACAGGAAATATTACGATGCCATTGTTTCTAGCTAGTTTCATTAGTGTTAGCAGGTTCCTTGCGCCTGTCCTTTTCATTCATCTTTCATACAATCCATAGTGTTTGTGATAACTATCAATCATTACGGAAATGCAGCCCTCAAGCAAGTCACTAATTAGGAATTGAAGCCCCACTCTCTCACTCACACACATACGTAGAGCCTTTCTCTCACTTATCTTTATCTTACTCAATCGATTCAAATACATGTCTATAGGTTGGTTGATATTTACTAAGATAAGCTTAGTATGGCACAAGGTTAAATAAAATAATATGGGAGATAAGAAAGATCGTGCAGCGCTAATATTTAAAAACAAACATTATTTTCATTCATTGAAAATCAGCACTCGAAAACTTTGATTCATCTATGTATGTATAGATAATTCATCCTGGAATTAAGCAGCGCACAATAACTATGAACAGAAATCGAGTTGAGGCTGAAAAACTCAAGAGAGTTGTTCGTAAGGGTCTTGATGTTAATTTCCCTGAGGATGTTGGCACAGAATTTGTTCTAAAAACGTAATGGGTGTGGTCGCGTATGTCATTAATTATCAAAGACACCACACATAGAGAGAAGTCATGCACCATACGTCATACGGTTTTTCTATTGGCACAACTACTGCAAACGACGCACAACGTTGCCGCATCGACAGAAGGGAATGTAAGACCGTAGCTGAACTAGAAAAAGACATATTTACGCTGCCTATATTTGAGGAAAAATCAGGCTGCGGCATTACTCGAAATCCACTCGTAGCCATCATGGATATGATTGAATGTATCACACACAGCCTGATGGCATCTATCTATCTATCTATCTATCTATCTATCTATCTATCTATCTATCTATCTATCTATCTATCTATCTATCTATCTATCTATCTATCTATCTATCTATCTATCTATCTATCTATGTCCGACTATTCATTATCTATCTATCTATGTCCGACTATTCATTATCTATCTATCTATCTATCTATCTATCTATCTATCTATCTATCTATGTCCGACTATTCATTATCTATCTATCTATCTATCTATCTATCTATCTATCTATCTATCTATCTATCTATCTATCTCCGACTATTCATTATCTATCTATCTATCTATGTCCGACTATTCATTATCTATCTATCTATCTATCTATCTATCTATCTATCTATCTATCTATCTATCTATGTCCGACTATTCATTATCACTTAATACAAGACTCAAGAGACACTCAACGTAGAGGGATACTGAATGTAGTGTGTGATATATAAGTGTAGGAAGTGAAGATTATGTGCACGTGGAAGGAAGTGAAGATTATGTGCATGCAGAAGGCAGATAACGATCGACCATTGCCATGAAGATGTTACGAGTGTAAACAGCGGTTCTTGTGAAAAAGCTGTTTCAGTGGAACCGCAGCTGTAATACGGAGAGAATGAGGATGGTTAAGCGTTCTGGGTGCAGCATTGAGCGTCTTAGCAGTAAAGGTCTGAACTGGTGGAACCAAAGAATGCATATCGTCCGAACATTTACCATGGAAATAGCAATAAATTAGCAAAAGGCTTGCAACGTTGCATCTGTGGTAAATAGGCTGCCTTTCCCGCAAACGATCTTCCTAGACGACTTTGGCCTTTGTTAAGGCTGGAAAGTGAATAGCTGAGTACCGATCAGACGTTACATAACATTACGAGAGTCGGCTGAAAAGTTCATAGGCTGACCAAGACACTCTCATATGGAATATGATCAAATGATGTTTATTTTTCAACATAGTCCTCTTGCGATTTCCACAATTCTTCCATCGGTATTGCAGTGCCCCGTACTTTAGGCCTTGTGCCACATCTAAACTACGCTTAGAAAATAACCATTAACAAGAAGAGTTAAATGAATGCATTCAAGATTCCACAGCTCTCGTATCACTGATTCGTAGTCAGCCTATGAACTTTTCAGCCCACACTCGTACATAATTGTCATATTCCTAATCACCTGGATAAAAATCTCGACACTAGCGTGTTGAAGTTCCTAGACAGAGAAAAGTACATTTAATCTTAGAATTCTTTTGACACTGGGTAAATGAATACGATATCATCGTATATTAGAAAGAACAATTGGTTGGTTGCTCTATGAGATATTAAGGATACCATGACACCATGACACTCCGACAGTCATTGAAATGTCCAAACGTATATTAAATATTAAATAACTACTGGTGGGAGTTTTTATCACCTGACGTGTACGGCAAGGACATTAAAAAAACAAAAAAAAACCAAAAAAAACAAAAACAAAAAACAACAAAAAACAAACAAAGCCAACAGTTTCCCGCCTTTAGGTATGTGTCGTCATTAACAAATTATTTTCGTACTTTTTCCAGATGATATCGCCTGTTACCAAACAAGACGTGTTACGGTAAGAAGAACCTGTTGACATCTTTCGTAAATAACGACGTTAATTTAATTTACTGGGAAGAAATTCTAATTGAATTACAACCAAGTAATTTTTGTTACTGCAAAGTTTTACTTTGAATGGAAGCTTCGTTGAATGACTGTTGTCATCGATCTCTACAACAGATAGCCAAGTAGAGCAGAAAGCAATGTGATAGAAGAAAAACTGTCGCGCCAGTCATTTCAAGTAAGTATTTCCGGCTTTGGAAGTCTATACCACGGACTCTGATTTTTACTCTTGGTATTAGTTTGAAATATGTATCTATCTATAATATTTGAGTCACGGTAGGACATATCAGAGGTCGGAATCGATTTTAATATCAATCGATCGGGTTAATGATTTTTTGATTACCAGCAATACATTTTATGATCTACAAACTATATATTCAAAAATAAATTTTCATAGACAAAAAAAAAAAAAAACAAACAAAAAGAAAAAAAAAACAAAAAAAACACCGGCAATACATTTTATAATCTACAAACTATATATGTGAACAATAAATTTTCATAGTAAAAAAAAAAAAGTATAACCAGAAATACATTTTATAATCTACAAACTATATATTTAAAAATAAATTTTCATAGTAAAAAAAAAAATTAAAATATTACCTGCAATTCATTTTATAATCTACAAACTATATATTTAAAAATACATTTTCATAGTAAAAAAAAAATATTACCAACAACACATTTTATAATCCACAAACTATATATTTAAAAAAAAAATTTTCATAGTAAAAAAAAATTAAAATATTACCAGCAATACATTTTATAATCTGCAAACTATATATTTAAAAATAAATTTTCATAGTAAAAAAAAAAAAAATATTACCAGCAATACATTTTATAATCTACAAAATATATATTTAATAATAAATTTTCATTGGAAAAAATAAAAAATTAAAATATTATCAGCAATACATTTTATAATCTACAACCTATATATTTAAAAAATAAATTATCATAGTAAAAAAAAAATTTAAATATTACCAGCAATACATTTTATAATCTACAAACTATATATTTAAAAATAAATTTTATAGTAAAAAGGAAAAATTAAAATATTACCAACAATACGTTTTATAATCTACAAACTATATATTTAAAAATAAATTTTCATAGTAAAAAAAAAAAAAATATTACCAGCAATACATTTTATAATTTGCAAACTATATATTTAAAAATAAATTTTCATTATAAAAAAAAAAATTAAAATATTACTAGCAATACATTTTATAATCTGCAAACTATGTATTTAAAAATAAATTTTCATAGTAAAAAAGAAAAATTAAAATATTACCAGCAATACGTTTTATAATCTACAAACTATATATTTAAAATAAATTTTCATAGTAAAAAAAAAAAAAAATATTATCAGCAATACATTTTATAATCTGCAAACTATATATTTAAAAATAAATTTTCATAGTAAAAAAAAAAAATTAAAATATTACCAGCAATACATTTTATAATCTACAAACTATATATTTAAAAATAAATTTTCATAGTAAAAAAAAAATAAAAATATTACCAGCAATACATTTTATAATCTGCAAACTATATATTTAAAAATAAATTTTCATAGTAAAAAAAAAATTAAAATATTACCAGCAATACATTTTATAATCTGCAACCTATATATTTAATAATAAATTTTCATAGTAAAAAAAAAAAAAATATTACCAGCAATGCATTTTTGAAAATAAATTACCAAAGCTCATAAAAAATAAAATATGTTAGCATTAAATGACCCACAATTGGTTGATATGCCATTATACAAACAAACCAAACCAGTTGCAAGAGTCCGATCATCTTGATTTATGCAGGTGCGTCCATAGGCAGTGCTGTTGGTCTGAGAATTTTCCTAGTCAGACCGTTAATAAAATGCAGACAAATAGTAGAGCTTTGTTAAGCACTTCATTAATGTATAGCTGCCTACTCGCTAGCCAATCCCTATTGCAGGCACATTTGTGTTTGCTCAACACCCACAGAAATGAAAACAAAAAGGACACTTATCTCTATCTATAAAAGGCAGGATGTGTGTGTGTGTGTGTGTGTGTGTGTGTGTGTAACAAATGCACGGCCGCAATATTCGAAGGATTTGTACCAAAATTTACAAGCACATGCTCCAAGTTAGCGGGAAGGCCAAGACCGACTTTGCATTTCCCAACTCCCATCGATAGTGGAAATAATCGATTTTTCATGCTTCTACGGCACTTTTCATGTGGTTTGCGGCCATTTTCTACTGGCCAGAGTGAGAGACTATAACTGGCTGCCACGAATAGGCAGGAAGATTCTATTGGCCAGCGTGAGAGCCAACAGCTGACTGACACGAATGTTACCTAGCATGCTAGCATGCAAAAATATCGATAGCTGCATTCGTCACAAGTGGGAAAAATTTAAATTTGCATGGCACTTTACTCCAATTGGCTCATTCACTTGCTTAAACTCAACGTTGATTCTGATTCCGCAGAACTGGGTTGGGTGTGAAAAAGTATTTGTTGTTAACATTCTTTTTTTTCATTCGGTTTTTCCAGTTACGAGTTCTTTTTAAAGCTGATCGTTTTGTGTTCATTTTGTTTAGTTCTTTTTTCGTAACAGATTTAATGTTTAGTATAGAGCTTAGAAAAAATTCGCAGTGTGAGATAGGCAAGAAGTAAGGCATGTAGCAACATCAGCACGGCAAAGGGTACTCCTTTAAAGGCAAGGAAGGGCAAAAATATTTTAAGTCAAGTGATAGCGATTGTTGTATGAGTCGTACGATTTTTGAATCAAGCACGGACAAC